GGAGGAAGGGTGAGATTTTAGCTCTGAGCTCTGACTTCTCGGCTCTCTCTTTTACATTGTTTCTGTGTTTCTTATTTAATAAGACGGTTGGTTACATCTACAGTGTCCCCAAAGTGACATTGAACTTGTGGCAGTCTTCCTCAGCCCCCTGAGTACTGGGGTTGTAGGCCTGAGCCACCAAGCCCGAACTGAATACTATTTTATTTATTCCATACCAACATCCTCATAGCAAAAAAAAACAAACAAACAAACAAACAAACAAACAAACAAAAAAACAAAAACTATTTTCTCTGGATAGTACAGTTGTGTGCGGAGACTGGAGGGAGTCGTTCTGAGAACTAAATGAAATCATGAATGTACAAGTGCTTGACCTGGGCTAGGCATTCAGTAGTACAGATGGATCTTATTTTTCCAAACCATGTTATTTCCTACAGTATCCTGCTCTTACTGAAGTGGTATGACCTCCACCTCCACACCCCATCTATTCTTATGCTTACTCTGGGGACTTCCTTAAGTTTGGAATGTTTTCCCCTTCTTTTCCTGATGTGCAAAGGCTAATCATCCTCCCAGGACACGTCTGTCCTCTTTCAACATTGGAGCTGGGTGCCCCACCCCATCTTATACTCTTAATCCATCTTTGTGAAGTGACTAAATGCATTTATTGTCCTACCTCCTAGGGCTTGATTGACTTAAATGGTCCTTCCCTTTTAGGCACTTCTCCAGATTTATGCTGTGTGTCACTCATGGCAGCACCCAACCATGTACTGAGTACAATATTTATATTTCTTATTTGTCCTTCCTAGTTTCACTAATGGACTTTTCATCCATATTGCTCCAACACTAGAACATCATAAAAAATTTGGGGGGGATGGACTTACTAAGTTTAGGGCACTTTCAAAAGTTTACACGTATTCGTGTATGTCTGACTGATTACTAGTGACTGAACTAAGAGAGGTAATTATTTCTGATAACGTGATGTCAATGAATTTCCCTGAGTATTTTAAGAAGTTGTTTCATTAATTTCTTTTTCTTTTTATATTTTCATAGTATTGGGGATTGAATCCAGGGCCTTGTGCAGTCTACCATTGAGCTACAGCCCCAAACCGGTTTCAGAGCAGGTTTAGAACCCACTGAACTCTGTGACTTGTGTCCTTTTACTCTCAGGGAGTCCCTCTCTGATGCTGAGGAAGCCATGTGGATGAGCGGTAGTAAGACTGCAGGATTCAGAACTTTGCAATCCTTGTCCTAGTTCCCTTTGCAAATGGTTGTAGTGAGGCAGAAGGCTCACCCCGTCTTGGCTCCTCCAGTTACCTAGACAACTGTAGATAGCATCATGTAGTGTCATTGGTATTGCTATAACGTACCTTAGAGTAATTGAAAGTGTTGTTTGAATAACAATGATGAGTGTTAATTAAAAAAGCAGAAATTTAAATATAGGTATTTCTCATTCAGTATTACCAAATTAATTAATACTGGGAATAACCATGTGGAACATCCTGAGAGTTTTTGCATTTTATATTTTACATACATATATAAAATTAAATATGTGCTCTTAGAAATATAGTGACCTTTGTACTATAAATACTGAGGTAATGTTTAACATACATTGAACATGGAGATAAATTAGTGTTTATATATAGAAATGCTTTGTCAATTAATTTGTTCTTAAAGATTTCTGATGTGTTATATAAATAAAATCCAGAATAAACAGTAAACAAATGAACAATACAATTTCAGGCTTGCAAGAGAGTTGTTTCCACGGTGCTACCATTTAATAGCCAATGTGGACAGAAACTCTTGATGTCTTCATTCTGCTTTTATAAGCAATATTGCAATGGGTAAGATGGACAAAAACAAATGGATTTTTATTACATTTTATTTATTTTGATGTGTGTGAGCCTGGCAGGCACTTGGAA